TACATATACATACATACATACATACATACATACATATATACACACACATTCACACACACACACACACACACACATATTTATATATATATATATATATATATATATATATATATATATAAATATATATATATATATTCAGTTCATCTTTATTTCTATAGTGCTTTTTACACAACCCAGGCTCATTCTGATTCTGTACCCCTATATACATTTCTGGAGAGCGTTAAATATGTCGCAGGAACCATGTTATTTTTTTGTAGTTTTTGTTTTTGCAAATCCACCAGAGGCCGCTGTGTTTTTCAGAACTCCAATTTCTCCTGCCAGTGCTATTCATGCCTGTTGTTCTCGCGTAAATCCATCAAAGGCCGCTGCCGACTGACTCCACTTCACTTCCTAATCTGCAATTTCCTCTCTGGATAAACCACTAACCGTACTAAAAAAAAGAATTATTAATGCTTTCCTTCTTAGACTTTACAGACCTGAAACTTGCCTACAGCACTTATTCATTGTTGCTCTTATAGTTGTGTAAATTGCTTCCTTGTCCTCATTTGTAAGTCGCTTTGGATAAAAGCGTCTGCTAAATGACTAAATGTAAATTGTGCTCACAAACCGTTCACATGGCCTCCATTTCCCAGGTGAGTGAAATTATATACTTACACACCATCTCTATAAATGTATTTGTTTTATTAAAGATCATTTATCATTTATAATTGTCTTTAGAGCTGTAAAGCACTCCAGAATCTGACAGATTGATTAGCTGTAGGCTCTAGAACAGTCATCTGAAGCGCTGTCGTACAGTGTTTTGTCATAAACATGGATGTATGGATTTCATCAACAACCTTGCATTTACTAACAGAGACTATATTTGAAGTGTTGTAAGAAATTCATGGTTTTCTCCTGTAGAAAAAGGACACATGTTTAGTGACTTAATGTATTACAGCAGTGCTTTAAGGGTGATTTCACATCTGTAGTTCGCTTCATTTGATCCGGACCAAGGGCAATTAATGATACATTGTTGCTTTTTCTGCCGTCTTTGAGTCGTTTTCACACCACGCTGCTGGCTTTGGTCCGAACCAGTTGAAACGAACCAAAATGCAGTCATCTGACAAAATCCACATCTCTCATTGGCCAGATGTTGTTAAACATATTTCCTAAACTGCGTACTGATTGGTCAGAATTCATGTGCGGGAGAATGCCAGTAAACTCCCGCAGGTAAACAAAACCGGCAGACACAAAATGTTGCTTTTACTCTGGAGGGACGACTGCGCTGACTGATTGTATCCCTGCTTTAGACAAACTATACATTACGAAAATGAAGCGCGGCCGCGGCTGGAAAACAGTGTTTTAATGCATCACTCGTCACTTCAGAAGGAGGCGTGAATTAATTTAGCTAAACTGCGACATGCTCATCTTGCGGAAATATTACCAACGATCCATCAGGTAATGTTTTCCCTCTCTCTCTCTCTCTCTCTGTTGGTAAAGCGCTGTCAACAAATATTTTTCCTCCATATCCCATAATGCACAGCGCATCGGCCTACGGCAGCTGGACTAGTCCAAAACACGCAGTACTTTTTGCGGTTGGACCTGTTTTAATAAAAATCAAATTCTCACCACAAACGAACCGCTCCAGGGTTTGTTTGAAAGCGTACCAGGACCACCTCTTCAAGCAGGTCTTGGTACGCTTATTTGGTCCGCTATTGGCGCGCACTCGAGTACGATTGCTGCATTCTCACCTGCCCAAACGAACCGCACCAAAAGGGAAAACGAACTCTAGTGCGATTTAATCAAACTAAAGAAGGCAGGTGTGAAAGCACCCTCAAAGTCTAAACACTTTATTGATGTAGTGTACAACCAAGCACATGTGGTCAGAACACAAACGAGTCGCAGGTAATGAAGTATTAAGCGTATCTCCCAAAGAAAAGCCTGTCTAAGCAAAATGCCAGCATCTGTAGCTCTGCTTCTTTGCCCTTGTTTGGTATCCCCCGGTTGGCGTGATGACATGCGAACAAAATGCCAACGGTTGGCCACTTGTAGCTTTATTTGCGTTCTTCAGAAACCTATGGGTGACGTCGAGTATGCTACATTCATATCTATTACAGTCTGTAGCCCCTTTCACACAGTGAAACCGGTAAACATGGAAAATTTCCGGAATGACTTTACCGGTAAATTCAAAAAAGAGCTGTTCACACAGGCGAGGACGTTACGGAATTTTTCCTGTAAAGAGCGTTCACACATCCATCGCAAAATACAGGTAAATTCTGACATCATTAACCAGAAATGAGCTTTAAATGGCTGCGCTTGTATTTGCAAACATTTGACTACATTACAAACTCTGTGGATAGATCAGTACTGTGAACAACTTCGATGAAAACATATAAACACTTTCGCATGTCGAGATGTTCATGATATGTGTGTGTGCTGGCGCTCACAGGCTGTTTCACGGGCACACGCAAAGCTTGAGGGTAAACAAACAACGGCTTATCATAAGCATCTCATCGATGATTATTTACACGGTTGGCATTAAGATGAACATATAAACGTGATCTGACTAACATCTAGCAGCTAAATATGTCTGGGAAAATATTCAAAGGCTTTTATTCTCATAAACCGAGCGGATGTAAATGCGTCTGACTGTTCTGATTGGCTAAAGCAGGCGTCTCACGTCAGCACGTTCTAGACGTGCACACGCTCTTTCCGGCAATCTTCCTTCTGCATTCACACTTACCGGTCACTTACTGCATTCACAAGCATTCCGGCAAATTACCGGTAATGTTATAACTGCTCTTTCCGGAAAATAGCCAGAACGAAATTACCGGTATTTTCAAAAAGGGCCTGTTCACACATACACACCTTTCCGGTAAATTGCCAGTAATTTTTCGGAAAGGTCTGTATGTGTGAAAGGGGCTTATGTCTATGAAGTATTTGCACAAGTAAACTGCATACAAGTCGGTTGAACGACATGAAATATGCAAGATGTGCAGAATTTTGCTTCATCTTGAGTGTTTAGTGTGAACCCAGCCGTGTCGGCCAATCAGAAAGAAGAAAACCTCACACATGCTGACATCATGAGGCGAAAACTCACATAGTATCCTTGTGTATGTGTTCACACAACCCACAGTATACCCAGAGCTTCAGAAAATCTTCCCCCTGGCTGGAGTTTTTAGAAATTACTGGTTTTAATCACCTGACACTATTTTTGTGTGGACAAACAGCCAAATTGTGTAGAAAAAAGGGTGTGTTTGTGTGGACAGGCTCTTATCGTCACCGATCATGTCTCATTAATCAGCCTGTTGTCTTCCCAGTGTTGTGTGTTTCTCACAGTGGGTCTCTCAGTGAGCAGCTGGCAGCCCCGGGGCCCTCGCTGAGGCGATGGCAGATCATACACCACACACTGTCCTCAGGGGCCATCAGGACACCATTACTGCTCCTGAAGGGCCGAAGTGCACACGATCCTGCAGGAGACGCAACACAACTGTGCATTAACATCGCAATATACAGTTAAGGACAGCGTTATTCGCCCTCCTGTGCAAATATTTCCCAAATGATGTTGAACAGATTCAGGAATGTTTCACAGTATTTCCTATCATATTTAGTCTTCTGGAGAAAGTCTTATTTGTTTTATTTCAAATAAAACAAAAATAAATTTAAAATTTATTTAAATATTTAAATAAATAAATAAAATTTTAAATAAAAATTTAAATAAAAATTTTAAATAAAATTTAAATAAATTTAAATAAAATTTAAATAAAATTTATTTTCAATTAAAAGCAGTTTTTAATTGTTTTACCCATTTAAGGTCAATATTTTTAGCCCCCTTAAGCAATATTTATTTTTGATTGTCTGCAGAAGAAACTACTGTTATACAATGACTTGCCTAATTAACCTAATTAGTTAACCTAATTAACCTAGTTAAGCCTTTAAATTGCAAAGATCAATCAGTCTCTGTCTATTCTATCTAGTTACCTATCTATCTGTGTATATATAGAGTTTCTAAGCCGGAGGTACCTAAAAATGGTCCTGGAGGGCTGGTGTCCTGGGCCCAGTTTTTCAAAAGGTTTAATCTGGATACAATTGATTAATCCAGTTAATCAGGACCAGTTTTTCAAAGCAACATCGGATTGGATCAATCTGATCCGGGTAGGAACTTTTCAGGATCAGTAAATCTGGATAACCAGTGCTCAAACAGGATAGGAAATCCCCATGTAGAACTATAGATATGTAAAGAGCAACAAGTAGAATAACTAGTGTGGGGTCAACATAACTTTATCTTTACTTGAAATGAAAACACACATTTAAAAAAAATAATAAAAACAAGAAAAACCCCATCCTCTTCCAGCAGTCTGCTCATCTGAGATCTACAACACAAACACTGTACATTGAGGATATTTATAACACGTTTTAAGTATAGATGTATTGAATTAAAAATAAGACTTTATGTCAAAAACTCCACAATGATTTCAGGCTTCCTCCTCTGACATTTTTGTCTGAGCGTAGCCTTTAGGAGGCGGATCTCAAGTCTGGTTTTGGTTTGCTGCAGTTTGGTCAGAGTCAGATTTTTTCAAGTGGTGATAACTTAAGCTTGAGCTCCACCTTTTTTGCACTTCTTCTACGAGTGATGTCACTGGGGGTTGGGGTTAGGGGTGGGGTTGGTGTATGCATTAAAACAGCTTACAGGAGGAGGAGCGACAGCTCATGCTCCCCCTCGCTGGAGCTCAGCTCTCCTCAAATGGATCTGCAGCGAGCACCCTCTCCATTTTTTTGCTATTTCTGCGGAGAATTTTGGTAAAAATGCGGATTTCTGTGGAATTATGTTGGGAGTATCATAACTAAACCTTAATATGTGAAATAAAAATAATATATTTTTACTGTTATTAAAAGTTTAAAATGCAAATCCAATTAGAATGACTTTATTTGGTAAAGAAAGCAAGTCTCTCATATATTATCTCTACTAAAAGACAGAAAATATTACGGTACAAACTGCATTATACATAAATCAGATGAACATTTTTATATTAGTCAATAATATTACTGTAATTAATTTAAAAACTGAATAAATATAGATTTACACACATTTACTCAAGTAAATAAACACAATTAATGATGGGGTAAAAATCTGCGGAAAATGCACGCGCAGATTCCATGTTGGCCTAGGTTTTACTAGGTCAATTAGGTTAACTAGGCAGGTTAGGGTAATTAGGCAAGTTATTGTATAATGATGGTTTGTTCTGTATCGAAAAAAATATATAGCTTAAAGGGGCTAATAATATTGCCCTAAAAATGCTTATAAAATAATTAAAAGCTGATTTTATATCATCTGAAATAAAACAAATAAGACTTCCTCCAGACGAAAAAATATTATCAGACATACTGTGAAAATTTCTTTGCTCTTTTATTCATCATATGGGAAATCATTCTGACTTCAAGTGTATATCAATCAGTGACAGAATAAAATTGATTGTTCTTGGTCATTTTGACAGCTGTTTGGGAGATTATTTTATGAGGCCAAACTCTTTCTACTTTGCTGTAGGCCTATACTGAAAAGCTGAATAAATAGTAAATCTCGTAAGATACTGCATGATCCACACATAGTATTATTTAATACATTTTTAAAGTTTTTATTACATTTTGGGCATGAAATCCACGCTGAGTCCACCCTTCGAATGTCATCGGTTTAATCTAGTTTTTTCGGATCAAAGCCCTGCTGAAAAAAAAACAACTTAAACCAGCCTAGGTTGGTTGGCTGGTTTTAGCTGGTCAATCAGGCTGGTTTTAAAGGGGCTTTGCCACTTCCAGGCTGGTTTCCAGCCATTTCCAGCCTGGTCTTAGCTGGTCAGGCTGGGAGATGACCAGCTAAAACCAGCTTGACCAGCCTAGACAGGCTGGGAGTCCAGCCAAAACCAGCTATGTCCAGCTTAAACCAGGCTCGTGTGATCAAGCTGGTTGTAGCGAGTTTAAGCTGGTCATTTTCCAGCCTGACCAGCTAAGACCAGGCAGGACATGGCT